ATCATAACTCGAGATTTATTGGGTATCAAAAAACCCAACAAATCTCCACCTTGATGTCCAATAAATCTGCAAGCAATTAAAACACACAGTTAACACTTGCATAATCAAGGTAGCCAATAAAATTGGATCACAGACCTTACCTCGTGTTTTCAACTTGAAACACATACCATACCTGCTCCATGTACTCACTGGAGCTAAGGTCAAAAACACCTAAGTAGAAGCAAATATTTAACAGTAAACAATCAAGAGCAAATACACATGCAATGACAATATACTATAGGATAACACACACAGANTGTGCACCATGAAAAAAAATAAGAAATAGGAACATACCAATCACTAGGAAAATTTAAAACCAAATTAAATGGAAAAAATGACTGGGAGCTGAGTCCATTTTCAAAAGATAGTTACCTAGTCATACAGAACCTGTGAACTGATGATTATGCAACATGTTGCGGAAGTTCTCTCAAAAGGATCTTCAAACGGCAGTTTTTCAAGCTCAGTCCAACGTACCCTTCTCAACCAACAACCAGTTCAATCGGCTCCAAACCACAACCAATTGATTCACCTTGGTTGCTATACAATCTTATCCACGTAGGACAAGAAGGGATGATAATTTATGGCCACAAAGGTTACGAGAAGACACCACAAAGGTATACTATGAAAGAACCACAAATTGCACACGTTATACTAGCGTTCTGGACACTTCTGGACACCTTTTTCTCACACAAAAGAGGGGCAGCCGGGATTCACTAGTTCTTCTCTCAAAATCACACAAAACATCATATGAAAGTGGCTAGGGTTATAACCAAATATATACTCTAGGATTAGGCTTTAAGTTGGGCCATTAAAGGGGTAAACGGGCCAAGATTCAAGCCATCCATAAGGAATACAATTGGGTCGGGTGTAGCTCATGGACTTGGTTGTTGGACTTATTTCATTCATCGGCCTATGCCTATGAAATAATATTAATCCACGTTAACATCATAGCTCGAGATTTATTGGGTATCAAAAAACCCAACAAATCTCCACCTTGATGTCCAATAAATCTGCAAGCAATTAAAACACACAGTTAACACTTGCATAATCAAGGTAGCCAATAAAATTGGATCACAAACCTTACCTCGTGTTTTCAACTTGAAACACATACCATACCTGCTCCATGTACTCACTGGAGCTAAGGTAAAAAACACCCAAGTAGAAGCAAATATTTAACAGTAAACAATCAAGAGCAAATACACATGCAATGACAATATACTATAGGATAACACACACAGATCTTTTCAGAAACACGTTCACATAGAACCATAGATTAACACCAAGTCAATCAAACCACGGTCAACCACATATGCAACACATGCATAAATGACCCTAAGAAAAGATCTCACCACACTTATCCTATCCCATTCCGTGTTGCTCACACCTCGAGAACACATATCTCTTCTCATCTCCCACCATGCTCACTAGACAGATCGCTCAACTCATGTCTAACTGGTAAGTCACAATAGATCTTAAATCCACGGGATAATCCTCTATCTCCACATCACTTCTCCCAACCTACGTGGATAATGGGTCTCCACTTAACAGAAGTGATAGAAGTGTCTTTCTCACACTCCACCTGATCAGGGTCTCTTTCCAGATAAAGGATCCTAGACATTTGATCACATCTCCACTCGTGATCCAAATGTCACACTCTACATCCCCCGTACAAACCACCATGTACCTCTAGGCATCTATACTCCACCTCACCAAAAGACACACAACGCACTGCTAATGCATCTTAACCCACTATGCATGCAAGCAATTACACCAAGTAATCCTAATGTCTCAAATTCATGCAAATGCACATATCAAACACATTGAAATGTAGCAGATAATCATGCAACAAATTTAGACAATCACACATGCAAAAAGGATCACACACAGATGCATATGCAGTGACTAGGTTTACACTCAATAAACCTCACTTGGGTCATAACTCGACCCCTCAACCAAATTTGTCTCACCTCTCATCTTACCCTTCAGCTTATCTTTCTTCTTGGGACAGTCCCTAATAAAGTGTCCAGACTTACCACAACTGTAACACATTTTACCAATAGACTTGTCTCGTCCCTTGCCCTTCTTCTTACTACCCTCATCACTCGAGTCACTACTCGAATCATCACCGTCTTGAGTTCTACCCAAATTCATTTGCTTAAACTTCATCCTACTCCTCATCATATGTAACTCGCCACTCCCCTTATCCTCTTTTTCAGCCTTAATCTCCATCTCCTTACTCCTAAGTGAGTCTATGACAATCTCGGGTGTTAAGGTATCCCCGGAGTTGACTTAAGCAAATATAAGTCCTCCAACTTTTCCCAAAGTTTTTTTGTAGAATCCAGTTTTCCTACTTTTCTCAAAACAGTATCAGACAGGTGTAAAATAGTTGAAGTGTATGCAAATTCATCATACTCTTCTTTTTGTACTTCTGTTAAATTTGCAGGAAATTTGCCATCTATGGCCTTTGAAACTTTTTGTTCGACCAAAATACCCTTCGTCTTTTGTTGCCAAATTGAAAATTCTCCTTTCCCATTAAAAATTTCAACTTCAAAGCGTGAAGACATTTTTAAAAAACTAGAACAACCAAAAGCATAGATAGGTCTCACAAAGTTATCCTACGGCTGCAATATACACCGTTCTAGATTCCCAGGGTTTCGTAAGATTCACGATCTTAGATCAAGGGAATGTTCGAACGGGTCAAGTCCAGGTGTTCTAACAGAAAAATCAATGCAACACGAAGGTATGTAAACAAAAATTCGAATTTCCACGCAACAAGTCTCACACAGTGACTATATGATAGGTAAAGCACAAAATCAACTACCAACTTGCAATCAAAACTCAACACTTCAAAAAACAGAGCAAATAATTCCTAAATTTTCTAGCACAAG